TCTCTCTCTCTCTCTCTCTCTCTCTCTCTCTCTCTCTCTCTCTCTCTCTCTCTCTCTCTCTCTCTCTCTCTCTCTCTCTCTCTCTCTCTCTCTCTCTCTCTCTCTCTTTCCCTCCCGCTGGGGTTATCCGAGCACAGGGGGCCGCGTGATCCGGCGCCCGTGTTGAGTCACCACCAGACAAGCGAGGTGGATAGATGGCGCGATACGCCCCGTGGAACCGACACCAGCCTTGCCTGCCGGCTGGACCTCTTTTTGAAATGACGAAGGGGGAGACGGGTCTTGTGAGCCGCGTTCCCCGACTTGGGGCGCTCTCGGTTAAATCCCACCACTTGCCTTGCCCCTTGCTGCTCGCACAGGAGAACCCGCCCTCGCCGCCGTCATGACCTCGGCGGGAAGAGGAAGCCCTGACCAGCCGCCCAAGCCTAGGACAGGAATGACTGATAGTCCCACTCGGTGGATGGCGATTCCTATGCCAGGCCGCCACTGCACTCTTTTCCCCTCTTCATCTTTGCCGACGATATGAAACCCCCACCCCCGACTGCCGATGACCCCCCACCCACATCCTGGACTGGACTAGTCTTTTGGTCTTGTCAAACTGTTGGAAATTGTCGATGCAGGAGTGTATAACACCCTCGGCATTCTCTAGTGGCTTTTTCGCATGGGGGTTGTACTCAGCCTGAGACTACAGAGAGCCCAGCATCTTCTCGATACAGGATCAAGACCACCTTGGAGCCAACTCCGGCTTGGTTTACTTTGCTCGACAGCATCAATCTTGTGCTCCCCGTATACTTCCAGTCAACATGTACTTGCACCATTCCGGCTGTGATCCACGTGAAAAATGGAGTTTATCTAGCTCGGGCCCGACCCTATGGCAAACAAATACACTGACTGTAGCGGAGGCGAACCAGTAGTGCGGCGCCACAATGCCGTTGTACCTAGGGTACGGTAGCAGGGCGGTTCGCCTATTATCTCACAGGCTGCCTTAATTTTCCAGTATCCGACACGCGGATGGGTTCACAAACAAAAAGAGGCTCGAGCTTCGGGTGACATCGGCTTGGTATCAACCGGTATCTGTTCGATACCGAGCGCTCGGTGGCGCTCCCTTACCCAATGGTCTCTTGTCAAACGCCACAACAGCCGTCATATCTACCAGTCCTCCCCTTACCGGCAATCACACAGGAGATGGATGGGCAATCCCGGGGGTGCCAGACACGCGACGGTCAATCTCGGCCACTCCTCAGCCTATAAGAGACCAGGATTGCCGTCAGACAACCCCCTTTATGGCCCTGCTACGTGAACAAGAACACACCCTCCGGACACCAACTGACGTTGTTGTTTTGTGCTCTCTTAGTCTATCCAGGCTTTACGCGCGTAGGCAAAATTCTCACACCGACCAAGAAGCCATCCTCCTGAAGTGCCTACCTACCTGCACCAACCACCTCTCAAAAATCCTCAAGAGCCGAGAAGGCGAGTGCCAGGCCAGCCAGGCCAGCCATCCGAGAACCTGCCAGTAGCAATCAAGGGGCCCCAAAGAGGTCACATCTGCCAGGCAGGACCGGTCAAGGAAAGTAGGTGCGAGGAGGAAGTCTGTGGCCGGCCGGCGAGGAGGTGTCTGCGCACCTCTGCGAGGTCATGGGACGTGGATGAGAATGGCATACAGAGCGATCCCAAACCACAACCATGACGCGACAGCAAGCACTGGAGAGAGGATCCTATCGGCTGGTGCCCCGGGGGCACGAGAAAAAAAAACACGCAAGCCCTGGACTCGCCAAGGAGGAGTTACTCGGTGTCACTTCCCAGGCCGCGATCGGGCGTTCCACGTCCTGGGAAGGCAGTCTCTGATGAACAGAGGAGCCCCAGAAAAGGGAAAACGCCCTTCTCTGCCTGCCGGGGAAGATGAGGCTCGGTGGGAGGTGCGACCCAAACGAAAACAAAGGGCGGGGAGGAAGTCGGAACTCGTCCAGAGATAGCGAGGGAAAAGTATAAATGGGCAGGAGCGGGCCGCCGGTCTCCCAAGCACCAGATAAGCAGGAGGCTTGGTGAGGATAGGTTCCCTCACTGGTTTACCCCCCCTATCACCATCTTTGTTTGCTTGGACAGGCACTCTGTCTGACGCTTGTCTACCAGCTGCTCCCAAATCACTCTCTACCACAGACCCGGCCTGCACCAGGCCCTATCTTCTCTTGTATTGCACGTATCCCCGCTTGCCATCACTCTCATTTCAGAGAAAGCAAGCTCTTGGCCCGTCTTGACACTCTTTTCTTGACAACCTCAAACCCTCTCTTCTGGGCCATCCCCATCTCGGCCGAAAGCCAACTTACTACCTACCCCATCTACCTTAGCTACCTACGCGCCAAGCTCTGTGCTTTTCAGCAATGGCGACGCGCGCACTCCTCCTCGCCCTCGCCATCATCGCCCCCCTCCTGCCCCTCGCCTCCTGCTCCGGGCTCGGGGTGGCGGCGGCGCTCCCGCACAGGGGCGTGATCCCCGAGGACAGCAGGGCCTTTGGCTTCACCCGCTCGGCCCTGCCGCTGCAGTCGGTCCCCTGGCAGCAGCAGCAGCAGCAGCAGCAGCAACAGCACCCCGCCGGCGGCGGGCGGCAGCGGCGCACCACGCCCACCAGGTCCCTCCTCTCCCACGACGCGGCCGAGCACAATGTCGCGCTCGAGTACGCCGCGGCGGAGGGCGACAGGGATCTCCTGCCGACCGAGACGCGGTCCCCGAGCGCCAACTCGACCGAGAAGTGCCTGCTGTGGCACGACGGGCTCGGCAGGCTCAACTGCCACCAGTTCTCGCTCGTGTTTGGCAGCCGGCGCAAGCTCTGGATCTGGCAGTGGTGGAACAAGAACGAGATCACCATCCGGGGTGAGCACAACATTTGGAAAAAGGACGTCCTCAGGTGCGAGGGGACCAAGTGGGTACGTATCGAACTGGGTGTGGGAAGTCATATCACTCCCCATCCAAGCATCCAAGCATCCAAGCATATCCAGACTATATTGGACGTTGACTAACAAGAGACAAACCCCCCTGGCCATATCAGACCACCGTTACAAGTTGGCTGCCCTACACGATTGTGATCCACAGCGGTAGAACGTGCGAGTTCACGCCTGACGACAGCCACAACTACGAGGGCGTCATCGTCAAGTACGCCAACCAGTACTACGACGCCAACAAGGACTGCGAGCTGAGGAACGGGTACGAGACGCTGCGCTGCCTGATCCCCATCGACCCGGCCGTCTGGAACTCGACGAGCCCTTGAGCTTCCTGTCTTCTCCCCATCATCCTTCCATTCAATTCGGCCGCCTTGTCTTTTCCGATACCCCTTTGTTACATACCTTTGTCCCCTGTTGCTGAATGCGCATCACTCGTTCGGCCTGTCTGGTACCGGCGTGGAATCATCATGTCCGTAACGTCTGCCTTCTTGTCTTTTTTTTTCTCTTATCTTCTGTTATGTCTTTACATTACCCTGCAGTCTAACTACGGCAGTGTTTGTCGCTTGAATGGTCTCGGACAGCACTTGCAAGTGCTGCGGCGTTTGCCTCAGGTATTCTGATGATGGTAGATTCGGTGCGAGAATACTTTCGTCAGGCTTCCTCCTCACTGCCTGCACCATTGTCATCAGACCCGACCTAGAAAATTCTACCCCCTAGTTTCATATGATGCATGAGAAGCGGGAGTGTTTACGAGTGAAGTGATGTTCTTGGGAGGAGCTCATGCAATGTAACTTCAGCCACTTGGAAACGTATGCTTGAGGGTCGTGGTGGGGTTGGACATAATCTCGAAAGGACGAAGTGGATTGACCGGGAGGAGCCTTGGGTTCTGGATGGTATAAATACGTCCGTAGTGTTGCTTCATTACCCAAGTTATGCACCAAGGCGGCCAGCCATACTTTGTGTGCCTTGGTTAGTTGCATTCGCTCCAAAGGTAGCGCGGTCAGTCGCACTCGCTTCGGAGGTGGCGGATCAGTTTCGGTTGCCGCGCCGAGTCGTCTCTTCCGAGCTTGCAGGGGCGTCACGTCCCAATCGAAATCCTCGCTCTCGTTCTGGCTCTGCAAAGGTATCGAATCTGGTGAATGGCAGATTAGCAACGCCTTCTCGTACGTCGACGCGGGCAAGTGCAATAATACTTGAGTAAGAGTCCGGCATTCTGCAAAGAAAGGCAGTGCGGTGCCTTGGAAACCCTGGCTATAGTAAAACGGCAAACGAATCTTCTGGTAAAGGGGGCATTGTGTCAACGCGATCAGAACACGGGCATGAAAGGATCGACTAAACTGCAAACAAAAGTGCCGTATCGCCGTTTGGCCGTGGGAGCGGCGGTTTTGGAGGTGTCGTCTTCGACTGCAATCGCGCGTCACGGAGCCAGAACCAGCGATGACCCAAATGTACCACCAAGGTAAAAGAGGAACGTTGTTGTAGCTAGGGCTACAACATGTGCGTGGTTCTTATAAAGGAACAACTGCATCGTAACAACAGGCTTCGTTGACAAACTGGAGGACCACTGCCTACCAAAGGTGGGCGTCATTTTTAACGACGCCGGCGAGGCGCGCCCCGCGCCATTTCAAGCACGCCACAAAGCACGGTCCTGTCCCGCCGCGGGGGCGGCAGCGGTCCCACCCAGCCGATTCTCGTCGAAACGCCAGAGGATAATACCTAAGCTACGAGGCTGAGTAAGATGCCGTCGTTTGCGGGGGTATAAATTGCGCTGCATACAACACTTTCATCAATTTTTTCTATTTATGTTTTAAATTTCTCAAATACTTTACCCAACATACCTTTTAAAAACACCGAATCCTTATATCGGAAAGCCCCTCGCGCGTTCTTTAGCATTAAAGCGACAAGGACAAAGGCGGCGAACAAGGGCGGGATAATGTAGGCGAAACCTAAGGTTTTGCCGCTCCCGACGCGGGTCGCGGAAAGAACGGTGGTCGCGGGCACGCTCACGGTTGCCGAGTTCAAGCGCGATGTCACCAGAGCCATGGTTAGGCCCAGGCAGTCTTCCAAACTGTTACGGGAGTTGGGGAAGGCGTAAGGCGGTTTACTGTTTTGTACGCAAATGTCCATAGAGTTGAGGAAGCCGTAGTAGTTGTTTTCTGTAAAGGGGTAGTGGTTCGCGGCAACGGCGATTCCGGTGAGGCCGAGGTTGTCCTGGGCGCGGAAATCGACGCAATTGCCGGCCGACGACGAGGCGTTGAGCTGGCGGCCTAAGCTTGTGCCGGCCATAGCGGCGGCGTCACGTAGGCTAAGGGTAACGTTGCGGAAGCGAAACGCATCTGTCGTGTCGACGGTACAAACGACGGCAAAGGTGGGCGGCTGAAGGTCCACCCCAAGCCGCCCACTTACTATACTGGCGAACATGTTGCTACTACTGCCGAGTACGATAGTCGCCTTCCCGACGCCCGAAGACACGCATGTAACCGCTTTCATAACGTCGCAGTTTTCGCAGTTGCTAAGCTGGTAGTGCCACTGCAGGTACCGTCGTCGTTTTTAACCGTCAGCGGCCCAGCGCGGTCCGGAGCGAGCATAGCGACGGTGGCCTTGCCCCCCTTCTGACAGGAGACGGGGTTCGACACCATGGTCCGGACGCACTGCGTGGTTGAGAGCGCGTCCGACCCGTACGCCGACGCCGCTAAGGCCGACCCATAAATCTCGGCCGGGGCGCCGAGCGCACCTGGGTACACGGCAACGCCAAGGTCCGAGTAGGCGTAGCCCGTCGCGCTTACGTTACTAATCCCGTTTATTAGCCCCCAGGCCTGTACGGCGGGACAGCCTGTCGCGAAAACGTCGACGTTAATGGTCGACCCGTTCGCTAGTGGCCAATTGTAGCCGTTGCCGGACCCGGACTCGATCACCCTCGCGCACGGGTAATACGGCAACCCTGACGACACAGCGATGTTGTTTTCAACCGCCCTGGTCGCCAGTGACGGTGTGATGCTGGTGGCGATGGCGGCCGTGATTAAGCTCGTGCCGAGGAAGGAAAAGGTGATTCGCCAATGGCGAAACGAATCCTGCCAGCGGCCGACGCCCAGTGCGACGCGGAGCCGATCGAACTGCTGTCTGTCGCCCCCGGGAGGTCCAAACAGCAACGGCATATAGGAGTCGAGCTGGTCCGACCCGCCCACCCACAGCAGACGGATCTGCGATGCCACGAACGACGCGAAGGCGGACGCGACGACGGTGGTGACAGAGGTGTACCAGGCTCGATAAGTACCGTCGATCGGTCCGTGCTGGGTTAGGTAAAACGGCTGGACAGTCACGGTAATGGCAAGAGCGGCGGCGAGGAGGCATCCGAGGAGTGCTAAGCACGGAAGCCTCGCCTCTTTTACTGTAAGCGCCATAATAGGGATTTGCGTATCGTTGTTAATCTTTTGGCTAGCTAAGCCAACCTAGCTAGCTATTGTGGTAAAGCCTGGGAAGTTCTATCTTAAATACGCGTTATTATCGGCGGTTAATCGATGAGCTGAGGCCGAAGTCAAGCTCGCGTCCTACCCACCGCGCACGTCGGGCAGCAACACATGGGCTAAAAACTGTTTGCGGCTCTTTAATTAGTTGCGGCCTACGAGGGTGTTTGTCGCATAGTACCGGCGTCGGGCCGGAGGGCTAACGCCCAATAAATTGTAATTAGCGGTGGCATTGGTTAACGGTTAAGGGCCAACGGTAGGCCCGTTAGTCCTCCGCACCTCCAGCCGGGCCCAGGGGAGGTCCCGAGGGTCCCCCCGCCCAAACCCGGCCTTACCCCTTTTCCGGCAACCCGCCGGCTAACACCACCACTACTACCCGCAGCGCTTACAACGCCCTGGCGTGACATACGCCCTCCTGCCGATTGCCCGCCCACTAACAAAGAGCACCGGAACGCGGCCCGACCTCTGTCACAAAGGAGGCTATCACCAAGGGCCGGTACACTGTTCCAGGCCTTGGCACGGAAGATTTGCACGGGCACCGGGCAGATGCTTACCGAGCACCCGTCGGCAACAACAGGGATGCGGTAGTGGGTATCGCACCTGCAAGAGAGGTATCACCGTATATAAGGAGGGCACTGTTACAATTAGACCTCTGCTCCTAAGGTAAGGCACCCGTGGAGCACTAAATGGTAGCCCGTGACTTGAAGACTGAGGGGATTCACAAAGATCTTAGGTGCAGGTCTGGATGCTTGCTCCAAGGGATACTTGGAAGCTAACTTAAATTAATTGATGCCAGTGCATCTATTAAGGCTATCTAGGACGAAAGGACATCCTTTCCTTCTTATACCAGTGGTGTCCTTACACCACTTCCCTTGGCTCTGTGCCTCTCTCTTTTGCGATCACAGATCCAGAGATCCTCTACTGGATCTATGGCTTTGTCCCCTGAGAACACAGATCCAAGATCCCCTTACTCACGTAACCGGCGTCACGTGAGTTAACAAGCTGGTGAGGTGGGGTAGAGATATCCAAAGGCGTGGCCCAAGCCGCCTACCCCCCTTGCCCCTGGCCGTTGGTGCGATCGTAACATATATATAAAAATTTACGTTATACTTTATTTATTAGCTTATCTTAAAAATGCGTATGCGTTGCATATGCAATGTATATGCGTTTTTATCCCCACTTTTCCCCACCTTGTTTGAGATCTTCGCCCACCTTGGCTGAGCTATCCCCTCGTTTCTCTCAGCCACCCAAATCCTACGCACCACCGAAGTATTAAATACCCAATCTTACCACGATGCTTCTCATGCAAGTTGCGGTTCTCGATGACTACCAGGGAATTTCGGAGCCCCATTTTGAGACACTTGACAAATCCATCTTCGAGGTCACGACGTTCAAAAACACACTGCTCCCCTATAGCCACCCTGATACTCCCACAAAGGTCAAAGATGAGCTCGTCACAAGACTGGAGCCATTCACGGTGATTTGTATGATTTGATCTGGACTTGGTCGTGACCGTTTCACCATCTCATCCGCTCACATACACCAAGGCACCATGCGGGAGCGGACGCCGTTCCCGGCCGAGCTGATAGCGCGACTGCCCAACCTCAAGCTCCTGCTGACGACGGGGGTGCGCAATGCCTCCATCGACCTCGCCGCCTGCCGCGAGCGCGGGATCCCCGTGGCGGGGGCCAAGGACCAGGCCCGCGGGGACACGGCGGCCGCGCCGGGCGGCAGCGTGGTGCCGGGGCTGGCGGCGGCCGGCACCGACTCGACGACGCAGC